AACCAAAGAAAGTTAATATGCAGTCTCCTTTTGTAACCATGTCCTTACCTTTATACAGAAAGAAGTAGCCTTTTTGTCAGAATGGAATCTTCTATATTTAATTCACTTATTGCTCTCGAACTTGTTTATTTTTATCTTTTCTTTCTTGTGTTTCAAAGCAGGAACATACAGAATCTTATATTTTGTAAAGAAGTGAATATTTCAACATTTATACGTGTAACTGACAGCTGGGCTCCAGATAAACAACAAGAGAAAATTATTAAAGCAACACAATTCATACGGAGGCGGTATGCAGCTATCTCATTATTAAAAAAAGTAAAGCTATCCCTGTAACAGGCCTTGAAAGCCCATAGGTGTGTGAAACGTCGAGGATCCCATATTTTCTAGAAAATCGGCACACAATGATAGGTGATGCCAGCCTTACGCGCCCGCCGACCTTTACCCCAGAAAGATTCCTGATACTCATTTTTGTTAGAAGCTGAGTCAGCAACAGGACCAAAATACGGCTGCTGGAAGGATTATACACTCGTCAGAGGCTTGTGAATTCCATTCTCACTCAGATCTGAGATTTATATCCCACAGCATGGAGGTCAATTGGATCACCTCGAATACAAACTAATCACAGAGAAATTGTTAGTAGCCTTTTCCATATCATACTATATACAACCAGTTAAACTCAGGAAACATTATAGTGTAATCGAGGAAGCTGAAATTAGAAGCAATTCTAAATTTTAAGGAATTCCTTCAGGGCACATTAATGACCAGGACTCGTCATGTGATACTTTTCGTGATAATGAGACATTGTTCGTAGAAGATTGTAACAGGATTCACCATGAAGATATAGAACTGAACTGGGGCAATGACGACCATGGAGAAGACTTTCTTGCTAAGGTGATAACTGTGACACTGAATAAGTTAAACTCCTTTCATGGAACGTGGAGTTCTCATGTGTTCAGAAGTTCCAAACCTGAGCCAGATGAGTCCAATAGACAACCAATACCTACGTCTTTAAAAACACTCATATTGTCATGATTTAGGGGTGTGGCTGTAAACGGGGTTTGGAATAGTGAATGAATTAATTGTCCACTTGGACACAAAACTCGAAATTACAGGTAGTTACAGCGCTATTGCCAATCTCCACATTTTACAAATCACCACAGAAATTGATAAGCCTTTTCTGGATTACTCTTTCACCAACCGTTCCCTAGCAACGGCTTATAACAGTGGAGATTCTTCAGCTTCCAGCACTCAGGTCCCATTATCACAGCCTTCCATGCAGAACTCAACTCAGCTGACTAAAATCTCACTGTCAACTGAATTATACAACCATATCTTCTCAGGCTCCCTTGCACAGCTCAGTTGACTGGCTGCACCAGTTTTCTTCTCTATAACTTTTTGGCGCGGAACACAGAGAAAACATCGAGTTTCCAACAATAAGTTTATTGCTGCATCCTTATTTGTTCCCGCGGGAACTTGTTTATCGAGCCGTTGTTCAGAAACGGAAGTTTGTTTATTCTCCTATTGTATAGCAGGGGCTGTACTCGTAGTTGGTATCGTGGTCTTTGCCTAGCAACGGGTCTATACGTCACAATATTATATTACCACGTAGGCCAGTATGTTCCACTTTGTACCCTATCTTCAGAAGTTACGGGCATGCTTTTAAGGAATCTATCTCTTATCCCATACTTACTGAATTCCCAACATTTAATCCTCTCAGCGTTGCTCACGCTAATATTATTTTATGAATATTTTAAATCATGAAGTATATTAAATCAGAAAATTACAATAATTTAATACTAGAAATAATGTATCTAAATTTGAATTAGACTGGTTCCACCGTCCAGAGACGGAGGACGAAACAGATTAACCACCCAGAAAATACAAATAAAGGAGAAAGGGAAATACTCCAGAGAAGGAAGAATGATGCTGATTGAATGGCCAGACTCAAATTCGTTTCCAACAGATGTGTTCGGATATGAATATTTATCGTTATATTGGCGATGCTTCTGAAATTATATTTTCGGAATATTTTATCTCTCTGCCAACGACATGCCTTACCTGCGACAACTTTATCCAAATACTCCATCTCCTGGATGGCTTCATACGTAATCTTGCCTTCATGTTTCTTCAGCACTATGTCGATCTCTTCCCGGAGACGTTCCTGTATATTTTGGTGCAATGACAGCTCGTACAGACAGAACGTCATGGTGGTTGACGAAGTCTCGAATCCTCCAATAAAGAACACAAAGGCTTGGGCTGCCAGAGAGTCCATCGACATACCTACAATATTGATTGATAGCTGCATGATCAGTGTACATCGAAGTCTCAAGTACGTTGAGACGAGGGATATCAGAATGTATAATTCAACTTACGTGAGCCAATCAGAAAGAAGATCATCACAATAACGTACAGAATGAAACGAAATTCGAGCACGAGTTTTCCATATTATAAGTCCTTGTTAAAATAAAGTCGAAATATTGTACAACATATGACCTGTGGTGTAAAGTTTTCAAAATACATTTCACCGTCATATGGCGCCTGCTAAAAGTGGATCGAATTATGGGCACCTCGAAGTTAAATTAGGTGTTCGCCTTTTTCCGTTTCATGGCAGACTGCAGTGCGTCACTATGTATTACTTCGAAAATGTTTTATCACATTTCCTTCGTCCTTTATCACAGCTGTTTGAAATTTGCAATCTCATATTCATTAGTCCTATTATGGACTACATTAAAGTGACCCTTCTGCTGTCTCTACAGGAAACATTCTGTCAAGTTCAGCGACCAATTAATCAACGCAAAAGTTTCTCGACGTTCAATATTCTCTTTTCACTGGTTCTACAGCTCCTTGAACCCTGGACTCTGATTTTTCAGTTTCCTGTTTATTTTACAGACGTTAGGGCTCCTTGGACGGGTCATCAGCTCGTCCCAAGTGCTCTGCCTATACACAGGACAACACAAACACAAAATAAACACATACACACACCAAACATCCATGCCTTGTGTGGGATTCGAACCCATGATCCCGGCTTCCGAGGGAGCGAAGACAGTACATGCCTTAGACCGCTCGTCTACTGTGACCGGCTGACGTTCTAACATACCTTCCTGGATATGTGAGTTTCAACCAATGCCGAACGTCTCCTTGCTGAAACAACAAATTCTATCTCTTAGCTAGGGACCAATCTCTAGTAGTTGCTGTCAGGTTGGAGACTTGGACTCAGGACACGGTTCTCGATCGTTTCTTCCCAAAAACTCACAATGAAGCGGAAACAATACGTACGCTTCTGGAGAAAGGAAAGTGCACCTTGCCCACAGATTGATATTCAGGGCCCAATTCGCACACTGACGCGTGAAACAAGATTCTTCTCTCCACAGTGCATTATGTGGAAGGGCATATCTGTATCTTGATGTAGTTGTCATTAGCAAATTTCGCCGGAAGAGGTCGAATGTTGCGAAACGAGCGTGCGATTTGCGAGTTGTGGTATGGATGGATTTGATCGTCATGAATACTTCTAGGACGCTCGTCTGCAATAGCTCCAGCTCCCTTGCCATATTTCGAGATTCTAGACTGTTCTCCTTGCATAGTTACAGTCAAGACTTCTCCGTTTGCTGTTCTCCGTTGATTCCTTGGTCGGCCTGAATTCGTGAGTGTCTTAGGAGTTACACTTCTTATCTCACGGAGACGCTGCTTCAGTCGTCTAACAAATTAGCATCTGGCTGACGTCGACCAGGATAACATAGCCTGTAATACCCTTGTCGTTGTAAGAGTTGAATTATTATATGTACCAAGGGATGAGATCATGATGCAGTATTCCTCGTCTGTGTTCCATGATCTTTCGATCAGAACTAGGGAATGCTGCGCGGTGTCCACCTTGAGTCCACATGCTGACAACTGACAATAGCTGCCAAGAAATATATTATCCAGTTCGGATTTTACATCTTACCTGAAAAATTATGCGTCCCAGAACACATGTTGCATAACATTTTCGGCTTATATTTCTTGCAAGGAATGAAATAAAGTGAGAGCGTCCACAAATTTCGTTTCATCCTGTGTAAACCTTAGGCTGAAGCACATCACATTTACTCAAGTTGACTAGGATTATAATATTCTTGAAATATTTCTTTTTATTGTGAGAGCCGGAAGAAATGAACAGATGTTTTAATAATAAACAGGCTGACATACGTGATTAACCTTCTCATTAAATATGTAGGAGCTAATTTCTCTTTAGATTTTCCATTGCTATGATCAGTGCATGTCTTAGACTACGAATTCAACAGTCAATTTAGTCCTCTGAGACACACAGTGGGGCGAAACCCCCACTGTCATTCTTTGATTCAAGAAAAATATTGTATGTCTTAAAATGGACATTACATGTTCTCTAATAAATAAAAGACCAACACCAGAAATATTTTCAACGAAAACTGCGAACTGAAGTCATTAGCGACAGCAATGTTTTCAACATAATTATTTTTTTCCGAATGAATATGAAAATTTGTGAATTTTCGAGACTAAATAACTTCAAGGGAGACGGAATTCTCAGATGTATAATTTAATATGAAAAGAAAATGTTGAGCTGTGTCTAATAAAAGGGAACTTTGCTAACTACACTTAGCAAACCTTGGATACAAACGTGTGAGGTGCTTTATCTAGGAATTACAAAGCTTCGGTCGTGCTCAAGCGCCAGGAAGGCAACAAAGAAATCATTCATTTACATACTCTACAATGTACACAAGCACTACTTGCCAAGTTCGCCAGATTTATTCTCCATATTTCCAATTCCATTCTCTTCCATTCCTTCTTCCACTTTGCCCTTATTCTTGATCTGGATAAGCAGTTCCATAAAATCATTCCGTTTAATACTATTCTTCTCCCTGTAACGCACTGTTTCATGAACCATTCTTCGAAAATATTTTGAGACTTTGGGGTCTATAAGTCTCAGGTTCAAGGGTCGCACAGCAGATGGGATAAATGTACTGAGACTTCCGGTTATTGACAACATGGTCGACGATTCGAAGAGTTTCCTTCCCCATTGACGAAATTCAGCGTCTGGATTCTCGAGACAATGACATTGGATGCCAAATGCACATGACGATATTACGTCCGTGGTGTACCTAGCCATGATATCTTTTATTTCAATAATCTCTTCATTATTAGCAATTTCCTCCAGAATGTTTCCAAGCTCTTGTCCACAATCAACCAAAGTTTGAAACATCATCTTCATTTTACCGGAAGTGAAAGTTGGAGCCAACTTAACGCGAAGATTTCTCCACTTTTTTCCAGTAAGAAGGAACAAGTGACCAGTAAGTGGTTCAAATTCTTCATCTGTGAAGAATCCCCTGTCGTGAAAACTAGAAAAATCTTTAACTAGGATACTTTTGATGATATCTGGGTCACGGAATACAAATCCAGGTTTGGCCAACGTGTAAAATCCTCCATATTTCTCACCGCCAAGCTTTCTGTAAAGATCTATGAATACATGTCCTATAGGTTTTCTCAACAATAACAGGTCACTGAAATTTCCAAAGGGGAAAGTTGGTTTAATATAAGCTACATTTCTTTGCTTCCAATAGGTGAAGGACATCTTGAAGTAGACATAAAACGCAACAAGGAGACAAACAAGCAGAGCGCCCGGAACCAGAATTGTGGTTTCAAGTAGGAACCCCATGTCTGTATATGTAATCTTCGTTATGCCTGTGGGAAAATAACACAAATTGATGTCAATACAATGTTCTCTATAAGATATACACGAATAAACTAAAATTTTATTTTTATTAATGTGAATTATGGATGAAATACTTTCACGTCTACTCTGCCGTCACTATTCACACGTAATTTCAGGCATGTGCAAACACACAAATCAGAATGAAATGAAAACAGCCGGCTTTATAAGTACATAGGCAACGTGTGACGATTTCTCTCTGTAAAATATAATGACAGGTACCTTACATTTAATCTATTAATCATACCTAGACATTAAGGTTAAATCTGTTTCTTAATTTAATCTCATCATTATAATTATTATTGCATCATTTACTATGACCCATAACATGAACCCGCAATGTACTGAAGAGCATTCCCAGGCAACCAGTATACTAATTCAGAATATCGCCATAAATCAATATAGTTAAACAGTGTAAAGCCTAAGCCCGTTCACCACTTCTGCTTGAAACGTTTTGCGGTGTGCCTCTGACGTTCCACAAAATTTACAATTCATTGTCTACTACATGTTCTATCATTAAATATTTTATAATGAGCTTCAGTCAGCGTTTTTAATTGAAATACACTTAAATATTCACCTTCATAAATCCTGATTAAATTTCAAAAGGAATTGTTAAAAGCAAACTTCACCAAGAATGCCTATCCCTCTGTTTCTTCAGCTGACACTAGAGCATCATAATAATCACAGTAAAGTTTGCCAGTGAGAATCCGATAGTCTCCTTCGCGGATAGCTTACATAAGTGTAGCAGTCCACACACAAAAGAAAAAATATAACTCCTTATCAGTGTCACTAACAGCTAATCACACATTGTCATAATGTCTTCCTTAACTTCCCGTGTATATTTTATAATCCTCCCTTGTATGAACTAATATGCAGACACAAAATTTTCCGATCGACTTATACTGCCCCTGTCTGTGTACTCTGTGAATGCAGATTGAATAAGCAACCCGAAAGAAGAATTATTTTCGTCAGTGTTCGGGATTATAAGTCTAGCTGAAACATAGGTACAACTGTATGTCAACTGGGTGTCCTATCTGTCTACTACGTAGTCGAAGGTTTTTCTATGGATTAGTCTAGGAATGTCATTGTTCGCCAGTCGGTTCAATGGCACTAAGAACGTAGACATAATAACAAAACATTGTTGCCAAATAAGGCTGCAATTAACAAGCCTCATTTTTTATAGGAGTATATTACTGGTTATCTCAACAATTAATTATCAATTTAATGCTTTTAGTGAACCCATAAACGATATCTCAGTCATAATTAAATATATTTCATAGTTTTATTTTAATCCATCTTTAATCAGTTCTCATTTTGTAAATTTTATTTTCCAGATGAGGCAGATTCTAGTCACCTCATTTTTCTTAACGATTTCCTCCGAAAGAAAAATCACGGTGAAGAACTGCATATCATTTGGTTACGTCATGTAATTTTCTGGTAAACATCCCCCTTTTTCGTAAATGTATTTCTGACAGACACACGAAAGTACGTTACGAACTTATCCTCCTTAATTAACACAGGTTTAATATTACTTATAAACTAAATTGAAAGTGGTTTTAGATCTATAAAATGTAACCCTAATTTCCTTTTAAATTCGCTTAATGAGGGTGGAGTCCAACTGGGTCCACTCGGCACAACGGCCACATGTTGGCCTATTGTAGCCTGCCCCAGGTGATTATGACGATGGAGAATTTGGTGGAATGAAGATTGGCTGGAGAAACCGAAGTACTCGGAGGAAACCCGCCCCAGCGCCACTTTGTCCACCACAAATCCCACTTGATCAGACCCGGGATGGAACCCGGGCTGGAAGGAAATCATGGTGGCCCGATATGAAGCGCCATCCCTGAATCTGTCAGGAGAGAGTAAGGAGGTCAACTAGAAACCAAACCAGGATATAAGTGAACAAGCTGCCTCCCGACTCACTGCACTGCAACACTTTCTCTCCACCTTAATCTGAACAAATACTCAGTTCGCAACTTCATATTCCATTTCTTTAGATCTGTTTCCACATTATTACGTGATCCGCATAAATATCTTGTAAGCTATTATTTCCCTTCAAGATTCATGACAAAAATTTTATGCTTAGATGGTTCCTTTTATGCGTGCAACATTCCTTATAATAGCCAATCACAACAGGAGTTCCTAACCTTTTTACGTTCGAGCACTGAACTAGAGGCAAAATTATTTCGTGTCTTAATACAGGTATGAAACTAAAACACACAGAACACTTGGTATATCATACACCCCGTGTGGAGGAGGGGTCGAATACCTCCACCGTGACCCTGAGATTCGTAGAAGGCGACGAAAAGGAAAGTCTCAAATCTGAGACAGTAAAATATGGTCGCGAGTCCCAAGGGCTTGGATCCGAGAAACACTGAGCTGGCAAGCACCAGAAGCATATAAAAAAGACAGATCTGTCCTCTCGTCAGAGAGGGCGCCCCACAAAAATAAGACCGTAACTATGGGGCTCGACACCAAGACTTACTGACTGACTGGACGTCAGTCGCAATGTGACTTTCACTTTGACCTGGTATATGAATGTACAATAAATTTACATCTGACAAACGAAGATATGGTAGTGATCAACATTACCTGTGCAGGTATCTGTTTTCAAGTTGTGACCGGCGCGTTCTGAAGCCACAGAGTAATGTTGGACGACTGCCGCCAAGAGTACGCGCACGTTCTGATCTCGTTCAGAAGAGAAAGCGTCTGTGACTGGGCACGGGGCATGCAGTTATCTAACCCGTTATTATCATGTTCTGTTGGGCGATACATGCCAGTAATAATCACATGAGACAGCATACTCTCAGACATTATTTACGCTTATACTCTTGGGTTATTGATCGCGTTCTTCAAGCATAAAGGATTTCTAAATTTAGATTTATCTACACATATCGATGATAAGGAAACCAGTTAGTTCTAGTTGCACTTATAAGTGAACTGTTTGTAGTTAGTTATTCAAACAATAACGTTATCAGTCATTCTAGAGATACTGAATTTTTCATGAGAACAACATATGATCGTTTCTTATAATTGTCGTGTCATTGTGACAGCGAAATTTAATATTGAAAACAAAACACATGTGCTTAAATATAATTAATATTCAAGAACGTGTATGTTGTTAGTGTTGCTGCAAAAAAAAAATAAAGCTCGGACCCGACATTGAATTCAGTATGGCAGGAAGAGTCCATGTCGCAAGTTTCTTTCTTTAATTCTTTTAGTGTGGGATGGAGTGAAACTGGGTCCACTCGGCACGGCGGCTACTGATTGGCCTATTGTATCTGTCCCGGGTGATTATGATGACGGAGAACTTTGCGGAATGAAGATCGACAAGGAAAATCGAAGTACCCGGAGAAAACCTGCCCCAGCGCCACATTGTTCACCACAAATTCCACTTAACCAGACCCGGAATCGAACCCGGCAGCTGCGGTGAAAAGCCAGCGACTAACCGCTTGAGCTATGACGCGGCCTTGCGTCGCAAGTTGGTAGGATTCTATTCTTTATAAAAGTAAAGTAAAAAGTAAAGTTATCCCCGTAACAGGCCGTGGAGGCCCATAGGGTTATAAGATGTTGAGGTTCTCAATTTTCTAGACAGTCGGCTCACAGATAGCGGTGAGGTTGTCAGCCTAATGCGCCAGCCGCGCTTTACCCCCAGAAATATTTCTGGTACTCATTTCTGTTAGGGGCTGAGTCGACCCCAGGGCCATAGTGAGGCTTAAAGGATTAGGTCAATTGAAAAAATCCACCTCGTCGGGATTCGATCCAGCGAACTTCCGGCTTCTATTCATTGTAGTCTTGTAATCTAATTTAACGTAGAATTGTGGTATTTGTCCTGTATATATTTATTTTATTCGTATGGATATTGTTTTGTTTCTTGACTCTTGTTGACTCCGTAGGTGGCATTTGGACATAAGTTTGCACATAAGTGAATAAGAATAAATAACAAAAACAAAAAAACTCCGTGGTTTTAGCCCGCAAGCGAACTATGCCCACCGGGCGGCCGCAGCTTGTCGGTGAAGTTAGAGCCAATTTTTGACGATAAAGGGTGTCACGTGGTCAGCGCATCGAATCCCCACGGCCATTAATTTTGGTTTTCTACGCCGGAGCAGCTACTGTTCCATTCAGGTAAATAAATAAATTAATTAATAAAAAATTAAACCACAAAGGAATACATAATCCAGTACGCTAATACTTTTCGTATTCCCACTGAGTCAGCAAGGTCAATAGATACAAGACTGAGAATCCATGATTCGTTCTCACAGGGAGACAGGGATTTTCATTTCAATGACCATAAGCTTACCATTTATTTCTATATAGTGTTGAGGTCAATAATGCGTGGGCTAGTTCTCCACTCCCTCAGACTTGTTTACGGCGTAGTGCTTCAACACAGAAGTTTACCTTCTCTTACTCGATGTGAATATCATTCCCATTCTCGCCTCGAATTTTTAAAGTGCTAAGCAGATTAATATATTTTTCACCTTTATTGACAATGAAGTCAATGTGCAGATTGGTGTACAATGTAATAACTATTTACTGTACACTCTTCATGGCGTGAGCGGAATAAACATCCAGTGGTGTTTTCCTCAGCTCCTTAGATCTGGTGGCCAACTTCTTTTGAGTCTTCGATTTTGGTGAGGTTGTAGTAGTGGTTGAAGAAGTGGGTTGGAGTGAGTTTCTAGTTTGCTGAAGTACTTGGTGTTGTTTTCTCGGATGACTTCCCTTACGTAAGGAGTTTTCATATCTGTATGCAGGGTGCGGTTAGATACGTACCGTGGTGCGTTCGTGATGGATCGGAGTATTTTGGACTGGGCACGCTGTATAATGGCGATGTTGGATTTGCTGGCACAGCCCCATAGTGAGCCCAGGTGAGGCGCTGTGTCCGGTGTCGTGGTGTTAAGAGAGGCACTCTGGTCGGTCTTCTGCTCCCATATCCCATGGAAGCTAAAGAACGCTGTACTGACCTGCTGGATATGCGTCTGGTACCTCCTGCATTGAATGTGGAAGTGATTGCAGCCAGTGGTCACGATCATTAAGCACCCGTGATCGGCCACCGCGCTGTCCACGGTGGGTGGCAATGCCTTCCACAAGGTATTCTAGGTACACACGTGATACCGTGGATCGAGGAATGTTGAACGACCGCACAACTTCGGAAATGGAATGTCCCATCCGCCTGGCACCCACTATCATGCCCCTTTCAAACTCCAATAATTCACGTCGGCTTGCCATGAGCAGACTTGTCGGTGTTCAACCTGACTCACGAGAGAACACCTCACAACTGATACTGCTCTGGGCATTCCCAAGCCGTTAATGGACGGTGGTGCCACTTATAAATAAATTTACATACTGCCATCCCATGAATTTGGCACTTGAGTGTATATGTGCAAGGTGTATACAGGCCGTTTACTAAATCATTAGAGGAATAGTACGGTACATAGCAAGCCCCGCATTCAACCACACCCGGAGCGGAATTCCAGTCAGAATTCGAACACATTACGCGCCTTAACGCGAGTATTAGGATATGCGTTTTCGTAAATTTAGTGAATAATTCGATTTTAAACCAAAATCACCACATATGAATATGTTTTGGTGCTTGGTTAAATTAAAAATGTAGTTGAACTGAACTACATGCCAAAACTTTATATCTAATGAATTAATATAAGGATTAAGGATGGGTATGTTTTTGAAGGCAGCTGTTTATGACCGATATCATCGAACTGACTTGGTACTAACCGAATGGATTCAGGAGCAACACGAAAATCCATGGTAGTCTAGATTCAAAGAGCGTACCTCCCGAATTGCAGTAACAGCTTTATCGCAACACTAATCTGCTCGGTGCCAAGTTTCATGAAAATTGGTTCAAGCATTGATTTATTATTAAAAATATTACCTGAACTATATGAGAAACTGTTGCGTTGGTATTTCTGATGTCAGGCATTCAATAACTTCGCTGTTGCCTCGGGCAGGAAGATATGCTTACGTTATTTTCTGTCAATCAAAAATTCGAGCTATCATTATGTCCATATAACTGATGGCAGGAAATTATAAACTAAGCGACTGAGATACCCACAGTTTCTGTAAAATATGTACGAAGTGTAATAAATACGGCCAGAGGATACCGAATTTTAAGCGGATTACACATAAAGGCACACACACACATCAGTGTGATCTGTCAAGCATATTTTTCTTTATTCAAACTAAGAAACCAAATTACATATGCCTGTCTGTCACAGAGATATAATCGTGGACTCTCAGTCTGTAGCCAGTCACCTTGCTGGCTCAGTGGAGGTACCTAACGTGTTAGCATGTTTGGATTATTTATATTCTCGTACTTTTAGACAAATATTTCGAAAAAATACAACAATTCTACGTTAAAGTAGGCCACTACCAACAGAATCTACTGCGCCATGTTGCGCACACATCCTACCATGTCATTGTATGGCGGGCCCAAAATTTTTTTTTTCTGCAGGAAACATCTAAACACAACCTTGTTATTCCTGAAGGGTAATGAATTTTAAGCACCCGTGCTCTGCTTTCGATAGCAAGCTTCGTTGTCATGATGACATGACAATTATAAGAGACTGTCATATTCCGCTATGACGGAAAATACCATACATGCAAGACGGTTAATATTATGAAGAAAGCAGTCTTCTGGGATTTGGCACCGTGTATATGTGGTGTTAACCGACGTTTCGGAGGAACGTATCGCCTTCATCCTCAGTCTGCTTTTACCGGTTCTCACGGTCTCTTCGCTTGCGGATTTCTTATATTTTTCCTTCTGCACTGAAGATAGAGGCGATACGTTCCTCCGAAACGTCGTTTAACACCACATATACACGGTGCCAAATCCCAGAAGACTACTTTCTTCATAGTCACCGCCGTGAAAACCTCAAATCTTCCAGGGTTAATATTGGTATTGTAACTGTCCAGTTTATGGGAAGGGCAATTGATGCTTGTGTATGGTTAGGGTTTTGTGAAATTCCTCACTTTCGCCTCACAATTTTAAATTTACCCCCTGAGACACGCAGCAAGTGCCTTGGGTCAAGTTTGAAACCAGCCTGCCCGGTCCAGCCAATCATCATCTGAAGTGGGAGGTCCTTTGCCCGAATTTTGGGTGACCAGGGCAAGTATTTACCATTCAGAGGGTGCTTGGCAAGAGGGACTCTGAAATTTACCTTCACCGGGGGTACACGTGTTCTGATCCCCGTAAACACGCCCTGTGGTGACTATTAAGTGTGCATCTCAGAACAGTAAGGAAGCCTACATCCACAACTCTGTGAAATGTCACTACGGTGCTGTTTCCGTTTAAATAGTGCAGGTTGAATAAAGACTTCAAACAGTTAATTGGTGTTGAGGTGACTTCCCTACGCCTAAAGCCCCACTAATCACCCAAGTCGTGGCCAGTCAACACGCCCTGAGAGGAGTCGAATTGCTCTACCGGAGCTAGCAGAACCGAAGGACGGTTACAGTATATACCTATATGAATGTTTAAGAACAGACAATTCAGGTATAAGGAGAACTGAAATGAATTAGATTCTTTATTATGAACATACGACATGTATCTACATACATCGTATGTAGATACGTATTGACCTGAAAATTCGTTGCGATTGGAGAAAGAGAACAATAAACAGAGATAAAAGGTGTAGGGAGAATATGGAGTTTCGCTGACTCACGTTAATATGAATGACGTATCGTGGACACGAAAAAAGAAAAAACATAATCACGGGTCAG